GTTTTGTTGAGAAGGCACGGGAGGCGCCAGATAGGTCATGCTTGTGCTCGATTTGGTGTGAGAGGGAGGCCCGGGCGAGAAGTGACTCTTCAGCTCAAGTCTAACGAATATCGGTGCCCCCCCCCCCCTCCTCTCCCCAGTGAAAAGCGTTTGAGCTGAGATCTCGTGTGGGACCAAGACTAAACGCACGCCTGTGCTTTGCACGTCAAATTTCAGCCGATCACGTGGACGGTGGGCTGCCGAGGGCCGACTTGCAATTTACGGTGTGTCGTGGATGTGTGTGCGTGCGCCGCTGTGCTTGTGATGGGCAGTTGTAATTAAACTGGTGCTATTTTGAAGGGACGCTTGCGATGAGTGGGGTTCTGGTCATGGATGGTACAGACAGTGACGAGGAGTGCCTGAGGAGTGGTGCGCTCCGACAGGGCTTTTTATGTCCGTTTTGTGTGCAAGACTTGGGTGATCAGGCGGTTTTGCATGCGCATGTCCGGAAGTGTCATCCGCAGTCCACCGGAGCAGCGTCCAGTGATCTCGCATTCTGTCACCTCAAAGGTTTGCTTTACTTCACATCACTGGTGCTGCTGTCTCTGGAAAAAGGCAGTTAGCGCGCATCGAGCAGCCTCCGTCATCACTTCCAATGATTATTTTTCTAATTCGGCTTTTCAGATATTTTTGGTAAGGCAAAGCAAAAAATTATGCAAATTGATGCGCCATTCTCTGTGGGCAGCACCACCAGTACAGCAGCAGCAGCCGTTCTGCCCTATAACGTTTCCGGTGACGATCATCCAGACGCCTCCAAATTCGTTACGGTATCGCCGTCTCCTTCGCTCGCCTTCTCTTCTCAGCAGTTCGGTAAGTTGAAACAAAAAACGTGTACTGTTACCCTCACAGTGATGATGAAAATGTGAGTGTGTTTGTTGCAGGTATCACGAGGAATCATACCGATTATTACTTGAAGTGTCGCGCGCCATGTATCAATGATGCGGCCGTGAGGACGAACACCTTGATTATCAGGCTTGATAAGTTAATCAACCAGTGCCCCGCAGACTCGAATAAGCGAAAAGGTTTCTGCACATCTCGTAAATCAATACAAAAGTACGTTGATGCCCCTCTCTGGATAGTTAGTTTTGTCTCTTTCCTTCACTGGTATAACCGGGGCACAGGATGTAACGGCACGTACTGTGAGAACTGTTTGTTTGTCCATTAGTATGCTTTGATTATCTCATCTTCACTGTCCAAAAATTCTTATACGATTAACTCCTAGCAGACCTACGGTTCGTGGATGTATGAAGACTAGAGCATCTGTGAATTGAGGCATCGCACATGCGGTGAAGGAAGTGCGTCTAGCATTCTGAAAAGTGGCGCAAGCAAAGAAACGAATGTCGGGAACGCCACGGCAACCGTGCATTAGCTATTCTGCGACGCCCTGTCGATAAAATGGCAGCTAATCAGTATTCTCGCGCACAGTCATTTTGTTTTGCACTCAGGAAGAGTTGAAGTAATTGTCATCGAGGATTATTCAGTGGTCGGGAAATCAAAGTGAGGAGTCGTAAAATTCGGTTGCGCTGTACGGAATTCTGTCTGGTTGCGAGTATTTTGGAAGGAGGGGGGGGGGGGGGGGGGGGGG